TTGGCTGATCCTAGGATATGTTTACTGAATCTAATAGTTAAAGACGAATATCCTGAGCAAATTTTCCCTTTAGTAATACGGCTTCTTTTTGTAGCAAGAAAATTAGTAGCCTTGAGGGATGTCTTCTAACCCCCCCACAATTGGTGAATGGCGTACCCAGGTTAATCTATTGCTGTTTAAAGAAAAATTGGTGTACCAACACAGGGGAAGACCTACACAATTCTTTAGAATGTGAAATGTGTGGCTTTCTACACCAGGTTTAGCACCCGATTCTTTAGTAATACAATATATTTTGAGCTAGGAGTTATTATGTAATGCTTAGCTGGTCGATTATGGTATGTAGATGTTTATATGTATATATATATGTAGGTATGTATATATATATGTATGTATGTGTGCATATATGTATATGTAACTGTGGCAGACTATCTTTTCCGCTATTGGTACTGAAAATTAACCCCCGAGCCACACTTGGGAATACCGCCAGTGGGGTTGAGGAATCGTAAAACATAAAATCACTGTACCATTACCTCCACTTTACAACACATGCCTGATAACATGAGACTATCTGATCATATTCTACTTAAACCATTGTTGACAAGCGAGTGGAGACTGTAAAGCATAGTCACATACATAATCCATTGTCTGGGGTGTTTCATGTGCTCCTGCATCCCCTGTGGTTTCTACTTCCGGCCCAGGACGCATGAGCTGGCTTGCACAGAGATGGTATAGTTGATAATGTTATTTTATACAGCTGATTCCAACAGTATTTTTTCTTTGTGCGACCCTTCATGTTCTCCTGAAGAAGTCCACAAAACACATCAAGAACCATGAACAGTTTTATTCTTTGATTTATAACTAGAAATTTCAGAGACATATGCAACATTTCTGTAGAATTATTGCTGTGATTCTGGGGGAGGTGATATTAAATGTACTTTAGGAATCTGCATCAGCTGTTTTTTATTATTTGTTTTAAACATTTTCATACATTAAAATAAAATATGTACTTTTAAAGATATCTGGTTTGATGTTGTATATATCCTGAAGGCCCCATATAGGCAGTTTTGTCTACTTATAAATACATATTATATATTTTAGTTAGAGAAACCTAATTAAAATGAACATTTCCACCACTCTTAGGGCCGTTTCACACCTGGGCCATCCATGAAAGCGCGTCAATCGTGCACGATACCATGTGGATTGCCGTGCTGTCACGTAGTCGCCCATCACCAATGATTGTGCTGTGGGTGCCATTATTTTCTAATGGCACCCCAGTTGCCCTGGGCGGATCGCGATAAAACAGCCGCACGTTGTGTAGTGCAAAAAAAATGGTACATGCACCTTTTTTCTGTGATTTCCGCGCAGATGTACCCTATTAAAATCAATGGGGCCGTACGGCTGTTATTAAAATCAATGGGGCCTCGATGTCTGCAATTAAGCAGGACCGCACGATCCTGGGACGCACGTCCTGGATCGCTCTGGTCTGCACCGGCCCTAAATGTACTGCCCATCAACCCGTCCCATTTACAGTAAAGGTGCCCATACGCTGTACGATTCTCAGGAAATCCTGCGATTTGGTGTGCGCACACGCACACTGCCCGTTTGCAGTGATCGGAAGCCCGCCCCTCACTGCGGTCATCGGAAGATGATCGCAAGTACGATCTGCCCGTCCAAGATGGGCAGATCGTACGAGCTTTCAATAAGCTTACAACCAATCGCAAGACAAAAGTCTGGGCACCTTAAGAATTACCTTGATGGTCAATTTGTGCAAGGGACCCATGGTGGAGAAAAGTTAATGCCTAAGGACATACAGGATAAGGAACACTGAATGTAGATGATCTGCCACACTGCCATTTTCTGGCCTGGCAGTGTATATTGCAGCACTCTATCTTTTTTTCTCCATGAAAAAGCTCTCTCTGAAAAACAGCCCGTGTCTCACCAGCTTTACATGGTAAATACTTCCATAACAACTATAAGGGTAGACACAGAGCACAGAATAAATCAATCTTCCACGCTGTCCGTGGTGCTGGAATCTACTCCGAGCCAAGCTAAAATACTACAAAATTTATTTTATGAAACTGAAATCTGAGTCCAAAAGCAACAAAAGGAGAATTCCTCAGTGCTGACATTTAAATTGAAAGGAAGAATGAGCAAAATTTAATTAATTTACAAGACTTAATGTAGATGTTTAGTTTGGTTAAGCAATGCATTTAAAAATCGCCATTTTTTTTTTTTTTACTTGTTTTCAATTTTTTTCCATCCTTCTGCAGTCTCTTTGCAGCTATATTCTATCTACATGCATGTACTCTAGCAATGGCTGTACGACCTTAGGGTGTGTTTTGTATAGGGTTGCTATGGATGGTGAAGATGAATTGGAAACTTCTTCTCTTTTGTATGTATGCTGTGCCATTAGGCTGGTGGTACAGTGATATCTTGAGGATGAGGGCACAGACAAGTGCATCTCCAGATAAAGCTTTTTTGGGGGGGTTTCCAATATAATAGTGACTGGTGGTTGAACCCCCTGTAAGTTTTTTTTTTTTTTCCTGCTGCCTGTGCCCATTGGAAAGATTTACCTTTATTTCCTGTCTTGAAGACACTACAGAATGTGAGACGAAATCTCTCCAAAGACAGAGAAATTCCCCTAGTGGTAGATTTCTCTTCACCACATTTTGGACTTCTTATCACTTGCTGTCCCACTGAGAAAGGAACGCAGAGAGCAAAAAAAAAACCTTGGAGAATGTAGCACATCCCTACTTATACAAAAACTAGAAATATAAAAACTTTTTTGCTTTATCTACATGTAAAAAAAAAAAAAATACGTTTCGTTCCCTTTTTCAATTTAGCAATTTGAAGATTGTAACCCTCTGAACTTAAGAGAGACACTTCCTTTGTGGACAAGTATGTTTAATATGTACAAAAGCAGATGTGTCTGGAATATTCAAATGTTTGTATGAGTTGTCACTTTGTATGCTACTTCATCTCCCTGTGTGTTTGGATTTGAAGCACATGCGCTGTGCAGGGCATAAGCACGTCTAACATTGGCAAAGACAGGTGGATGGTAGACACGAAGCCACAAACACCCTCTTGATGAATCACAGCATGTCTTTTGATTGAAGCCAGGAGGGAGTGAGACAAAAGGTTTATTTTAGTACCATGTAGCAACGATTACATACTGAACAGAAGTACCAATCTTCTGTCTATAAAGTTAAAAGATCCAATAATAAAAATTTGAGATGACGTAGTACAACTGTAGCAGTGTAGTATACCTCAAAATTATAAATAGTAGAAAGCTCCATGCTGACCAGTGAATTGATATTGAGTAAATGTACATTTTATGAAAAAACAAAAATCTAATGTTAAATGCTTGGTAGGAACGTGGCAGTCATGCTGTTTTTCATTTTGGGGAGTCAATATACCATAGTTCACAATGCAACAAGCTCCTGGTTGGCAGCAAGAAGCTGGCACCCATATAGTAGTGATGTAAAATTTTACTTGCCCCTGATGCTCCATGCAGGCTGGCGTTCTCATTTTGACCCTCTGTGGTCCAATGTGCGAGCTGGTGTTCCTTTGGTAAAGTGCTGTGGTTGTACACTGCTGGGGGGCGAGTACGCTTTAATGACAGTACTGCATCTAATTAGGGTGCTGAAGGCAACAAATTGTAGACCTGGTCCTATACTGTAGATGCTAATGGAAAATACCCCCCCAGACTTCCCTCTTCTAGGTGGATCTGAGTTACAATATTTATGTGGCACTACAGATTCTCCAGTGTTTGCCTACAACTCATATAGTTTCCAATAATTAATAGCAATATTTGAACTATGCAGTGCAGGATGTGAAGGGTACAGCACCCTAAAAAAAGTACCTGAACTTTCAAAGTGGTGCACAATAAATGGGAAAGCAGATGACAGAACAAGTCAGTAGTATTGCCTGTAGGCTCCCTGACATCAATCTTTTCCCCATTACTAACTTACCATGCTTGTTCTGTACTGCGTCTGTGAGAAAATCACCATTTGGTAGAAGTAGGGCTTTGCTTTCTCTGTGTCCCTCATTGGATGAGAAAGAAAACCAGTTATCTAGCCATCTCTGCCTTTATTACTTTGACTGGTTGACCTGGAACAAGCACACATCTAGTACATTTTGAAATTCAGAACTGCATAGGTTTGTCAGTGACTCAGAAAATACTGAAGCCAATGTTGAAGCATAACAGCTAGACCATTTTCAGGAGAGGTCAGCCGTAGAGGCCTACATATTGTGCCTATGATGTGTTTGCATTGGTCGGGTCTTTTCTGCCCGTGCGTGCCCGCTAGGCGGCGCGCGCGAGCAGAAAAAAAATGCCGTCTGGAGACGGCAATCCGCCAATGCTGCGTTGCCGTCCGTCCGTTTTTTTACAACGGGCGGACGGCAAGTGGTTAAGCTTCTGCTTGTTCTCTCTATTCCTAAATACAGCCATACTGGGCAGGGGATGTCTAAATAAAATTATGAGCACATGGCAAGTATCTATTATTTCTGCATGAAAAGCTTTAACAGCTGCAGAAGAGAAAGTTGGACTGCAAAAAAATTTTTTTTTAAAAAGAAAAAAGGCCTATTTATTATATATTTATACTTTACCATATATACAGAACAGTGCCATCTCATCCACATATAAACCAACATTACAAGAGGTTTGACACAATACACTATAGTGTACAATAGTGTGGGATATTGCAGCCAGAAAGTTCTAATTTGAGTAGAAATAATTTTTTTTGTAAGTGTCTCCCTTTTACTAAAAAGGTATCTCTCCAATTCCAGGACAATACGGGAAAACAAAGGTGTGGCATTTTATTTCATATAAAAAAACTTTATTTTTTTTTTCTTCTGAAAGTCATCTGACAAAAGAACACTGGATTGCGCATACTCATGGCAGTCATTTAAAACAGAAAACTGCATTGCAGGTAAACAGGTTTTAATAAAAGGAAGACAAGAGACAAGAGAGAGAGAAAAAAAAAAGGACAGATAAGAATAGAATGTGCCTAGAAAATCCTGACTAATGCAATGCACCAAGAATCCTGCAGGGATTGAGTTACAGTATAGTATATATTAGGCAGAGTATGCCAACTTTGGAATATCTCATCACAACATTACTGATGTCATAAACGTCTGCACGCTGGATTTCGTAGTGCATTTAATAATATAAATGAATAGATAAGAAGTGAACAGCTTTCTCCATTAACCTGTTTACAGACAACAAATGTCATGTATCTGTACCAGCAGTGTCTGAACGCGTTATATAGTATCAGAACGTTCACATTTGCTACCACCATGTATGAAACAGAAGACGACTCCAATATACCATTAAATAGATTTCTGCATCAGTGCAAAGATTAGGAAAAGAGACTCCAGCACTTTACTGCAGCAACGAGCGTGCCAAAGTTACCCATGATGCTTCACACCTCGTGGCTTCCATGTTTCCCTGTGTACCGTGATAAAACTAGCTAATTCAATTTGCCAGTAGTGTCCATCTTCCAGGCACCGGTTAGATAACGTAGTCTTATAAAAAGGAGGTCTCGGCCCATCTGCAGCCAACTCCAGAAAGGCACCAGCTTGGATCCTAGACACAAGAAAAACACAAAAACTGTCAAATGCAAAGTGTATATGCGCTATATAATGACCAATCAAAGCCAACTATTATTGGAAGGTTTTACAACAAGACACTGATTGTGGGGTCTGTGATGGTCATGCGTTGAGTTCCTCCATGTGTCAGCAGTTTTCTTTGCTAAATAGATTCTTCCCTGTTCATTTTAGAACTCTGTTCTGCAGAGAGTGTACTCCAGGGCTCCGACACTCACATCATTCCAGAAAGTCATGCTTGTACATGGTCTTTTCTGCTCTCTGCAAAGTCTTCTTGTAGCAGAGCTGGAGAAGATGAAGCAGTAGGGAGAGCTGTCCTGCGCACACTTCCTGCGTTCTCGAGAAGTTCAATTAGCTTTCCTAGTTCTGAGTTTGGGACTACAGAATGATTATTTGTCTATGTTGTGGAGATGGGAGATTAGGAGGGTTTATGTGGTCCACTAGAAGACTAGGAGTATAATGCATTTCTGGAAGGCCAACAGGTATTTCCCTGCACAGTAAACTTTCTGTTATCCGGTAATCCAATCACAAGGACTCTCATCTAACCCAAAAAAAATCCCCTGTGTACTCACTGTTCTGCAGCATGCATTATCCTGGAAACGATCGTCTATTTGTCTAAATTTGCTTCCGATTACTGCATTTCAATACGAATATGAAGTCAATAAGAGTTTACGTTATACAATAGTATAGTATGGGGTATGCCATTAATTAGACCTATTTTTATTAGTAATTCTCATGCAACCAGAAACTACATTTATCCAGAATCTATCAATCCCCGTGAATGCTGGATAACGGGGAGTTTACAGTACTTGCTGGTTCTTTGAATGGAGAAAACATGGAGAAATGTTTTTTTTTTATTTTTATTTACCCCGACAAACTTCAACCCCTTAATGATGAAGGTAAAACAAACTCTAAGCCTGAACCCAGTTTTGCAACTGTGGCATGTGTTAGTAAACTGTAATATATGTCTAACTACTTACTGTATCCAGGTGAATAATACTTTGTTTTTTAGGGAAAATGTATTTAGCGGTAAATGTTAATGTTTCAAACTATTCCTCTTGCGAAAAAAAACCCACAAAAACATTCTTTTTCTACTCACAGAGGAGAAACAAAACACAGGGGAGTTTCGGGAGAGAGGAGGGGACCCAGCGGCATACCTTATCCTGCTGGGTGACTGTCCCCTCTCTAAGATGGCCGCCGGCAGGTATCAATAAGATCGCCACGCATGCACGATGACGTCATCGCGCATTTGTAGTGACGTCACGGCGGGCTGTCACCTCCCTCTGAAAAGTTGGGCACTTGGTCATGGACTGAGCGCCCAACAGTTTCGGGAGAGGAGGGGACCCGGCGGGATACCTTATCCTGCTGGGTGACTGTCCCCTTCTCTTTGTGCCGCCGTCCATCACCAAGATGGCCACCGGCAGGTATCAATAAGATCGCCGTGCATGCACGATGACGTCATCGCGCATTTGTGGTGACGTCATGGCGGGCTGTCATCCGATAACCGCTCCGTGTGACACCCAGCCTCGGGACCCCCTGCTGTGAATGGCTAATCGCAGTGATCACGTGATCTGGAACCAATCTTCCCAGCTCCTAATTATTAGTTTGAGCAACAATATTATAGAACAGATTGAAACTACTGTATGAAGAAATCTAAAACTAAACAATAAAAGGTGATCAGCGCCAGTAAGTGTAATGTGGAAATATGAGCTACCAAGCACTAAGGATATAACTAAATATCTGTAAAATGTGAAAAAACAATATTGTGCCGAGCTAATAATCATACATATCTAATAAATTGAAACATATATAAATGAGTCACATATATGAGCCTTCAAACAAATGAGGCAAAAGAAATATCTACACACATACAAAAAAGCAATATAGGCAAAAAAAGTCCCAAGGAAAAAACAAACGCAAACAATGGTGATTGTGCAAAAAATTCCTCAGATGATTCGCAGCCAATGTGCATATAACTCTCAGGTAAGGATAATCACACAATGCAGGCAGACCTTCACCTCCACCCAGTGAGTGATGATAACAAGTGAATGCTCACCTGGGGAGGTAGACCCACAGAGCTAGGTCAAATGCACTTTTTCCCTTCTTAATGGGGGAGGGAAGCCCATGCACAGAAAAAGGCGATAAGGTCTCCTCAGATCACAGGTACCAGTATAAATCCAGGTGGAAAGAGAAAAAGGACAAGGACATAGTGCGTAACGTCCAATAAAATGCAATTTATTATATAAAAAATGCGTACTCACAATGGTGTAAACAGTACAGGCATTGGGTATTGCTGGATCATACCAGCAGGACAAATGGCAGCAAAGTGATAAGAAAACTGTTCGTCCGGCTCAGCGTGGTGACATCAGGAGCTCTGCTCTGCCTAGCTGTGGGTCTATATTGTTTTTTCGTAAGAAGAAATCGCTTTTGCATTACGTTGCCATAAAAGAGTAATCAGCAGTGGGAATCAAAGGTTTCGGCATATTTTATTTAAATCACTTATGGAGATGACGTTTTCAGCTTTCAATATTGCCGTCTGTCTAGACATCACTGAAAATTCCAGCTCTCATGACTACATACTGCATGGTACACCTTCATCTTACCTTCAATTTCCGTCCAGTTTACTGCAACTTCTGCAACTGGGATCTTCAGGCACTGAGCTATATATAGGAGCTCCACATCAAACGCCCTGCATAAACAGGAGATACAATATATTGATCTGAGCTACAGAGGCTATTTCAGATGTCATTACATTTCTATGCGGAGGCCATTTAAGAGATGAGGTTGTTAATCTGTTCAGAAACCTCTTATTATGAGCAGAAAGGTTAATTACAAAGATAAGAAGGTTAAGGCACAGAAGTGATTTTTTTTTATCACATCGGTGAGAGCTGATCAGAAAACAAATACATGCACACTGTACTCTTTAGATTACAAAAACTACAATCTCTACACCTGAAAATGCAAAAAAAGTGAGCATATCCTTAAAACGCTAAATTGTATTAAACTGATCTGAACTGCACTGTTTAGACAAATAGTAAAAGAAGAAATGGTAAGACCTGCTTACTTAGGCGAGTTCGCTACAGATCCTTTTATATGCTTTATCCTGAGGCACAGGCCAAATGTCCCTGCCAACACAGAGATTGTTGAGATACTGCGCTCTTTAAAGTGACACTGAACTCAGGAGTTAAATCTTAAAAATGCATTCAAGTATCTTAACTAATAACAGAATGTATCTTATTTGTGTATCACTCGGCTGTAGATCCTCAAATCATCTCTGAATCCATGTGCCTACGCCTGCGCACGGGGCCCAGTGCTTCTGCCACCGGCAGCCACCCGGGAACAAAGGCCGCGATCGCACAGCCATCAGGGGACATACCTCTGTCCCTCCCCTCTCGTGCCTGCGCCTCTCACAAGGGCTGTGGGAAGGCTTGGTAGGAGCAATGCCAGGGATCTAGCTGTGGCCTTAAAAGGGACCCTGAGGATTTAACCCTTGCTTTGCCTGAGATTTATGCTGGTGACCTTGTGGATTTAACCCTTGTTTTGCCTAAGGGTGCTGCCTGTGACTTGGCAAATTTCATCCTTGCTTTGCTTGAGATACCTGCACATGAGCCTGTGGATTTAACTTTTGCTTTGCCTTACATTTCTCCCCGTGACACTATAGCTTTTAAAAATAATTAAAGTTCTGCCTGATGAAGGGGATCCTGCGTGACCCCGAAACGTCACAATGAGCATGTTTTGCACGTGTGTCAATAAATAGACGTACTTCTACCTTTGGAGTGCCGGTGTCCATACTTTTTTGTATTACTGCACGGTAGCCATCCTTCGACTGCCGGTGCACCCAACCATTCTTATTATGGATAAGCGGTCAATGGGTATATGGATTGTTGATGTCTATACAGTTCACCTATAACTCTCATTAGCATTGCTATTTAGTAAAATGATAAAAACAGATCTGTAAACAGTCCTGTGGGGCCTGATGAGTCTGTTTTGGATCAGAGACCGGCACCAGCGCTGGAGGGACTGTCGGAAATGAGTGGAAGGAAGATGATCGGATTAAGAGGCATCAAACAAGGTAAGTGCTTACAGCAGCATTGGGGGTGGGGGGGGGGGAAGCTTTACTTTCACTTTAACCCTTGCTGTGTATAAAACCTCTGCCCATGAACCTGTGGATTTAACTTTTGCTTTGTCTGAGACCTCTGCCCGTGACCCCATGGATTTAACCCTTGCTTTGCCTTACACTTCTGTCCGCGACACTATAGATTTTAAGTATAATTAAAGTCTTTTGTTCTTTGGCATATATCTACTGCTAGCAAGGACTAGAGATATGCCCCATGATTAAAAAAAAAAAAAAAATTATAATTAGGCAAATACCTAATTACTCATCTGTTCCAGCGCCGCTTGCTCCTGTCTGAAGCGTTCCCAAACCGCTGTGAAGTGTGCGGGTGCTTGCGCAGTAGAGCGGAGGGGAGAGAAGAGAAAATTAAACTCAATGGACGCAGCTAGGCAGCCGGGAGCACGCACGTTGGACAGACACTGTGAGGCCCGAGGAATCTGCGGTGGATCAGACACCGGCACCAGCGCTGGAGGGACTGTCGGAAACGAGTGGAAGGAAGAAGATGACCGGATCAAGAGGCATCACATAATGTAAGTGCTTACAGCAGCATTGGGGGGGAAGCTTTAGTGTCACTTTAACCCTTGCTTTGTATGAGACCTCTGCCCATGAACCTGTGGATTTAACCCTTGCTTTGCCTGAGACTTCCACCTTTGAACTTAAACCTTGCTGTCCGTGACCCTGTGGACTTGATGTTTGCTGAGTCGGACTGTCATCTTGGGGGTACCTGCCCCTCTGCTAAAATCCCTGTGTTGAACCCCTTAATAAAAGCTCCCTTCGCCAAGGGTCCATAAAACTACTTTCGGTCTCCGTGTGTGTTCTGTGTTGCCCACTCCCTCCATCACAGTGTCAGCACCAATTCAGAGATGATTTGAAGATCCACAGCTGAATGAAACACAAATAAGGTTAATAATTCAGGAACTTGAATGCATTTTTAAGATTGATCTCCCGAGTTTAGTGTCACTTTAAGCTGGCACTGCCCATATATGTGTGAGACTCATCAGCTTTTCATGCTGACATCACCAATCAACAACAAATCAGGAAGCTTTACTTTATGTAGTCAAGGCATGTGCAAGAGTTCCTTGGCGCTTTATCAAAAGGCATACATGTCATGTCAGGTAGAAGATGGCAGTCAGCTCTTCACAGCAATATGGCGTCATCAATTCCTATGAGAGCAACTGAGAATGAGCTGATTGATCAGTTACGTTACCTATTCGCCAATTACACAGGTGGAAATTCATATTTGCCATCACCAGTAGGTAGGGCGATACTACTTATGCTGGGCACACACCTTACACCTTGTAAGGTAATTAAAAAAACGTACGATCTGCCTATCTTGGACAGGCAGATCGTACTTGCGATGATCGCAAGCCCGCCCCGCTGAGGAGTGGGCTTCTGATGACTGCAGTGCTGATGGGGCAGTGGGCGCATGCGCACACCGGCCCGTGCGGCATTTATCTTACGAACATGCCACACACCCGCCGACAATCGTACGATTCTCGGCGGGTTTTCGAACATGTTCAAAAGATAAAAGTCGTGCGACCTTACAGTAGGAGAGGTCGCACGCCTTCCACACACCTTACGATAAGGTCGCAAGGTGCGTGGGCACCTTTAGGTTGATAGATTACACTGAGAAGGAAACTCGTTATGATCTTCATGTATCATGTGTTAAAGAAATACGGTGTATTGCTCACAACTGAATCCTTCTCTTTATTTCCTGACCTCCACCAGTATGGCAGAAGGAATCTGACTGGTTGGAGAACTAAAGCCTATACAGGTCACCTATAATGCTCATTAGCTTTGCTATTTAGTAAAATGATAAAACAGGTCTGTAACCAGGCACCATTTCCTCCGATTTTAACCATATCACACCTCAGCTCTAGTTTAGGATTGCTCATACGTTTAGTATGGCTGCCATATAAAATATAAGCAGGGAAAAAGGCAGCACTTATACGTGTGATTGAGGATGTCTGAGACACGCACACTATCGAGACAGCACTGTTTAGTTAAAGATGGCAAGTCAACTGCTGGAGACAGAAACATTGTTAATATTTAGAAAATACCACCACATGCTAATCCCGGGAAAGAGGAATGTTAACAATCTGCTAGTAAAGATAAAAATAAATCTTCAACTACAGCAGGGTGTCCTGTCATCCGGGCTGCATCACTGTCCACCTTCAGAGCATGCATATAAACCCAGAGGCTCCAGCAGCCGTGGAACCCCCAAATTCCCAGCTACTATGGAAGCTACAATTATTGGACGGACACAAAGTGATCGGAGTAAAAAAAAAAAAAAGGACAACAGCTCGTCAATTTATAATCAGTATAACAAGCAGTTGGAAAGGGGTCGATTTACGATAAGTACCCAATTCAAAATGCTCCAGTTAGTAATGTGAGCTAAAGTCGGCTTCTAAAATCATAACCAGAGCAAAAGGTCTCAGATCCATACCTCGGTCATTAAATGTGAGAGGTGCACGTCACTGTTAATATGTCAAGCTGCTTTAATATATGTGCTCATCTTTAGCTGGACATATTGATATACAGTTGTGCTCATACATTGCATACCCCTAGCAGAATCTGTACAATGTTAGCCAGTGCCACGATACAACCCACTGACAATATGCAAACAAGCACCAGAAAAGCCTCAAAACCTCTAGAACAAAATCATTTGGAGTGATGTGACCATAAAGTTCAATTATGGCCTTAACTATAGATGCATTTTTTTAGGGAGGTGTCAACAAGGCCCATGAAGGGAAGCACATCATCCCTACCGTAAAACATGGGAGGAGGATCTCTGTTCTTTTTGGTGCGAGTGTGAGCTACAGTGGCACCAGGACTTTAGTCAAAATTAATGGAAAGAGGATTTCAGCATATTTTAAGGAAATATTGCAGGAAGCATTGCATTGATAAACCCAAAAGCTGCATATGAGGCACACTTGAACTTTCCTCAGGGCAATGATATGAAACAAAAGGCCAAATCTACCAATCAGTTGCTGCAGAAAAAAAAAGGAAGGTTCTGAAGGGTCCATCAAAATCTCCTGACCCCAACATCACTGGGACACTTTGTGGAGAACTCAAACATGCCATTGACGGTGTACAAACAAATAATCCACAGGACCTGGAGGCTTTTAGCCATGAAGAATGGTCAGCATTACAACATTACAAAATGAAGGGCCTAATTCACAACTATCACAAAAGGCTGCAAGCCATCATTGACTCTAAGGGAGCAGTACACAAGATAAAGAATCAAGGGCATGCAAACTTCTGAACAGGACCAATCTATTCTTTTCCTTGCTTGCTATTGTTTAATGTCTATAGGCACCCCATGTACAGATCTCACAGATTGCATGCACCTGGCTGTTAAATGGAACAAAGCAATTGTTGTCTGTGTGATTAAGGAACACCAGAAAATAGAAAGGCAATATTAAAGATGTACATATTTAGGGACTGTTTATATTTAAAGGGGAGGACACTACTACTGCAGGTAGGAGAATTCCAGAGAGTGGATGATGATTTGGCACACACGCCAGTCTATATACTCTTAATAGATAAATTAAATGTATTCTAAATGGTGCTAGTAAAAGTTCCTGTAATAAGTCTATATACAGTATATTGGATTCCTATATTCCATGCCCCCACTATCTCCACACCTTGCACTAAAAGGTTAAGGGTGCAAAGCCCTTAGTGGGCCCCAATCCTGCCAGCAGTTCTGTAATAGCAGTATATGCGTTTTACAATGACAAAGGAATCCTGCATTAAGGACACTATAGAAGCCTTTCTGTAATAAAAAGTGTACCATTACTAATCCATTATGTAGTTTAGTATTAACCACACTGATATTATAAATATAATATTCATGTTGAAGTGGAAACTCACCATCGATCAACATGAAGAGCTGTGAATGTGCGGGCAGCAGCTTCTCTTGTAAACAACTTAAAGCCACACTGTGTGTCTTTGACTCCCCGGACACACAAAAACCAGACAAGGAAATGGAAACCATACATAAGGAAGGTCCTGAACACAGAACGCTGAAAAAAAAAAATCGTAGAAGAGATTAGATCTTTACGAACACCTCAAAAAAGAAGGGGGTCTCCTGTCACACTACAGTAAGGCTAAGCTCATACCAAAAACTATGCGCCAACATGTGTTGCATTTTTTAAGGATTTTATTTTAATTGAACATGTCCAATTAAAAAACGATTTATTCTTTCCTGCCCAGGTAAATGTAGAATAATGCATGAAAACACATTAAGCGTGAACCAATTCTAAAGGAAAAATGGAGTCAGCCAATCCGATGATAGCTTTCATTTTCCACCCTCCTGTCCTGTCCTCCATATTTATACAGGAGGTCTATGGTCTGATGTGCTAGCTGAATGCGGGGACAATCAGCTGGTTGCTTTCACTATACAGCATCTGCCCAAAGCTCAGGATATCAGACTTTAGCAGTCTTGAGGATTTGGCATGGTTGAACACAGCACAGAACAAGGCGAGTATACAAAAGGGAGTAAATTAAATTTGAGGCTTCGTTTTGGGGACACATTAGGTTACCTTTAGGGCTTGTTCACACCATGTCCGGATCATGTCCAGACCAGAACAGTTTGTTTCTGGACCAAAAAAGTTTACGAATGTATCCCTATAAATATTTCTGGGCTCTGTTCACATTAGCGCAGTCCATTCCTTTCCAGACAAAAAAAAAAAAATACTGCTCATCTCATTTCCCTGGTCTGGAATGCACGGAAACGCATAAAAAATGCATGCAATGCACTGGAACGCACCTAAAAAGCCCATTTTAAAAGGTAACAAAAAAAAATAATGCAATAAAAACAGGGGGGGAAAAAAAAACCACACTACGTTTGCAGAGCTGCTCCGGAAACTGGAACCTGGCCTCCGAGTCAAGTATTGGGAGTCATGTTCAAGTTTTGGAGTTATGGTTATATATTAGGGAAAGGGGGTTGTTAAGTGCCAAGGATGAACAGAAATACATGGTACTTCCGGGCATAGGGAGCGACTCACTTCTCTTCATTTTACATGCTGTGCTGGTGTAGTTGGTATACAGCTGACAAGAGTGGCAAGGTAGCAAAAAGGAAGGAGAGTGCGAAACTGGGAAGAGCAGCAGTTCAGTGGCCTGTTGCTTTGTTCTGCATGTGTTTACACATTATTTTAATGTTTAGAATTAAAGTTGATGTCAGGAAATGCTTGTTAGGAGAAATAGGGGGTACAGCAAGTTTTACATTTGTACTTTGCTTTTCAGAAATAGTCAAACAAAATATCACCAATGGAAGCAATGAAGATGTGATCTCTCCATACTGTCTGTGTACAGGACAACCCAACAGATGTAGTTTACAGCTTGTGAGTTGATTTACTGCTTTTTCCAGAAGTCTGCAAAGTAGCTTGAGGTATAATTTCAGGCATTCCAAACGCCAACCTTAGATGTACATCTTTGATCATATATTACACATCTACAGGGATGTCAAAATAGAGATTCTGCTACTTTAACAACATTTAGAAGGGTCATGTACAGCAGGCGTACCCTTCAAATGTCCTGTCCCCTACAGTAAAGAAGCAGGCAATGCTCTTTAATGAAAATTTGCTAAAATCCTCAAAATATATATAACTGGCAGAGCGGAGGCTATTATCTCCTCAAAAGTGGAGTTACACTTTAAATCACAAAGGTTGAACAATACATGCACAATAGCCAGATTTGTTCTTATATCTGCAAATATTTTTTTAACCTTTTACTTTATTTTTATTGGAATCCTACAATACATTCAAGAACATAAAAATATTTTACCTTGGCTATAGACTCATTCTCTAGGTGCGCCCGTGACCCACATGATATTGCCAAGTTATCCTAGTTTCAAAAAACAAAACACAAGCATCAAAATAGCACAATCTGTAATACATAAACCAGCAAAAAGAAAGTCTAGCTTAGTTCCTCCATGCCAAAACCTAAAGCCACAATAACCAATACTCACTGGCCCGGGTTTTAGACTCTCAAGTCCATCTTCAACATTTTTTAGATCTGCAAACTTGGTGGCACCATCAGCATCGGCCATTAATACAGTCCTGCCTCGTGACACCAGAGTTCCCTGAAAAAGATGTAAAACAGATGAAGAATCTTAAAAAGCAGCCAAACCAAAAAGTTATGGCGCTTATATAGACCACTAAAGCCCGACTGCACAGGCTTCCATTCCCCCCCCCCTGCCCCCATTAAAAAAAAAAACAAAAAAAAAACATTACTCTCTCCACAGCTCCAGCACTGCCTCTGTGTCCTCCTTAGCTGCTTAGATCCAGCCCCAATTTGTGGGTTGAATGATGTCTAGCATCACTCAATCATTTCCTGAAAGCACAGTCAGTTAATGATACAACCTCCCTGTGCGACGCATCATCATGCAGCCTTGGTGTACAGCGGAATGCTGTAAATATTGGTACCTGAATGTCACAGCATGAGCGCGTTTTTTTTGCTGCAAAGAAGACCACCCACTGCCATCATTGCAAAAGAAGAAGAAGAGGGACCCCGCTTGCCCATGTGACAGGCAGGAAGACAACTGGTTATAGGCATATAACAAGAAACTATAGCCCTAGACTAGAAAAAACCCTCCTAACTAGAAATCCTTGTGGAAATGTGGGATCAAGGTGCCTCACTAGTTCTTTATTGGTCTCTGTGGCTGCTGAAGGTTGGCAAGCCAAGAGGAAACCTGAAACTGTAATCATGTCCAGTGAAGTATGCCTTAGCTTATACAAAGCCCAATACCAGAGCTGGTACATTAGACAGTGGTTCATCCAATAGGCTGATCCAAGCCATTGAGTGGCTCTCGTGCAAGAGACCTTGGCTAACACAAGAATATAGCTCTTTATTTTACCCAGGTTACTGTAAATTTAAAACTTAATTGGACTCTTAAAATTAACTGCAATTTTTTATAAAAAAAGATCCTTTCTAAAATTAGCTATTATTAGCTCTGTAGTTGGCCAATAGGCACGCAGTGTTTGCAGAATGACCTAACAATATTTCTGAAATGTTAAAACTAAGAATATTCAGAGTCTAACTGTAATTTTCCCAACAGCTGTAACACTGATAATTTTCCCTGATATACACATGGCCACTTACAGTCTGCATACGAAAGCCAGTAATTAAAATATGGGACATCTCCCATCACTCACCCACCTGATCTATCCATCTGTTTTTAATATGAAGTTAATTATTTACTTATTTTCTAAATCCTTAAAATCTCATGAAGACCTGCTAATGGTTTACATTGGAAAGCTTACAGCCTGATCTTTAAGAATATACACAATACTACAAAATATCGCTACATTAAAAAGCTATTGGTTCCAATTAACATACTGTAGGTATTCTCAAAAATATACATTTCTGAACTTTAAACCAAAAGGATGTGGAGGTGGGGATTGGAGGAAGAAACTAGTTTAATTGCCCCTTTATTTTTTTTATGGCAAATGTTTTTTTTTTCTACAGTTAAAAATTGGATGGCGATATCCCAGTATTTAACATTCGCATATTAACTGCCAGTTTATGTTCTCATCTCATATATTAGGATGGTGTTATGTAGACTTTAAGTTCAAGATGTTACTTACTATGTCTAATTTAACTTGTTATTTTATGAGTCAAATCTATAACTGGCTTACACTATTGTTGTGACTGTATGCCTCTATCCTAAATAAAGAACATACAAAAAATATGAAACATCAGGCGAGTAAAAAAATTTGAATATCATTAAAAAAAAATTAGGCAATGATTAAATACACGAATAGGGTAGGGAGTAAAGGGACTGCACTACAACAAGCAGAAGCAATGTACAAGGATTTGCAGTATGGAATTTACACACTATGACAACACATGAGTAGAGTGAAGATACATGTATAGGAATGACGGAGAGTAATAAGGAAT